ATGCAGATTGGGACCTTCACAGGCCTTCTTCATCCACCTTTTAGCTCCAAAGAGTGTCACTTAGTCTCTTTGTACACCCAAACATGGCCTGAACACTAACTGAAAATAAGGTAGTTGAAATTACCTATAACAGTCTGTCTGTTTAGAGGAAATAGTTACATCTGGATATCCAAACAGCACTTTTGGGCCATGAGATGTGGCTATCAAATAACAGTGGCTATTAAAGCAACAACAACAAGAAGCGTGTGTAGCTAAGCTGCCTATTCCAATAGGATAAACCATCAGCCTAGGTCCGTTCTTAAATAGTCTTTGCTTTCAGCTGTAAAGGGGTTTCTTTCTCTCTGATTCTTATTACAAGAGATCTCTGCTAACTGATGGCCTATTTAAAAGTTCTGACTAGTCTTTTTCTAGATACAAATCTAACAATCTATAAGTTATTGTAGATCAACTTGACCAATACATTTGAGAGTGTACTCTGATTTTAAAATAATTGTTTTTTGTGTTTATATGTTTATTCATCTGTCTGTTTAATGTGTGTTAATAACCACTTAAAGCACTTGCAGCTGCTTCATTTAAGAAAAATGTATATTTGAGCTCAACAATTTCTTCTTTTTCTGGCTCTTTTTGGGATTTTCATGGAAAACCATTTGGATAGGTTTTCAGAGTAGCCAAACTCATTTAAAACATTACCAGATAAAGACTGACAGGCTCGAGCCTTACATAGGAATAAAAGCCTTAAAGTCTGATAACATTAAAAGTTACATATGATTTAGGTTAATGTGTCTCTGGTTAACTTTTAAGTATACGTTATCCTCCAAAAGTTCTACTTAAGTTGGTTTGTAGACAAACACTCAAAACATTATCTCAAATGCTTGTGGTTCATATAGCTTAACAGCAGGCTACTTTAAATCACTTAGAGTCAAGATGTTTTTAAAGTTGGTAATATATTTCCATCTAGGTTGTTAGACGACCAAAATAATATCAAAAATCAGTCTTATAAATGCCAGTCTATTATTGTCGGTACCATAACTTAAAGAGTTTTCCTTGGTCAAGTATATATGTATATATAAAATAAGTATATATATATATACTTTAAAAAGTGGTAACTGTTAAAGTGTTAGTTGTTATAATGAGTCACCTAAAATAACTGTTCAAAATGTTAACTGTGAAAAGTGTTAACTGTGAAAAGTGTTAACTGTTATGATGAGTCATCTAGAATAACTGTTTTTGGCAATAATTCAAAAGTTAAGTGTTCTATGTCTGAAACAATATAATTTTCTAAAATATTGAGATGTTCTAGGTTAAACTTACAAAACTAGATTTAAAAGCAAAGGTTCTGTATTTTACTAAAATGAGGTTGTTATGTTCTCATTGTTAGGCTGTTCATTACTAAAAAGTGAACTTAAAGAGTATTTGAATTTTAGCCTATAAAATGTTTTCAGTAATCAGTTCATGATTGATTAAATAAACAACTGTTATCTTAGTGTATGACAACATATATTTGGGCATGTATGTATGTATACATCTAAAAACAAGCTATGCTGTGAGCCCAAGTTTTAAAGTTAGTTTACAGAGTTACAACTACATATGTTTAATACATACAAAGTAACTAATAGGTGTTCTCTTTTATACAATGTATGCTTAGGCCTTAAACATAAAATGATCAGTTTGCCTTCTCTTTAAATTTGGTCCTGACATTTGAACTTGATCTACATCAGTCAGCTTTGATTAAACAAGAATTTTTGTTACTGTATAAATGAGATACACATGTATGTTGTGTAATAAGTCTATTTGTGGTCATTAACACTGTTTCCTAAACTTATCAGAGTGGAAAAGGTGTCCTTAATTTCTGTCAATGTAGTTACACCGTATAAAACCTGTTGAAGGAGTCTAAAATTTGTCTTAGGAGTAGAGCTGTGTTGCCAATTATCGTTAACTTCATGGTATATTACATTTTGTATTTGTGTTTCCCAAATGCATGTCTTCAAAGAGACAAAACCTAAAAAACATCTTATCACACTTGTGACTTCTAGCTAAAGTTCTTTATGATGATAAACTTTTTTAGGTTCAAGCATCTCACTTTACCTTACTTGTATTCTGACTATTTGTGATGAAATGTGCTTGCCAATCCAATATCAGTCAACCAGATGATACAGATACTTTTTCAAAGCTTGTGCTTAAGGGATTGAAACATGTGATTATGTATGTGTTATAACAGTTAGAGATACTTAAACCTTTGTAGTCCAGCCAGTGTCACTCTAGAAATTAAAGGTTAGACATCAATAACCTAAAAAGTACATCTATGGACAAGTACATTCTTCTTAAGTGGCACTCTATCGAAAGATAAAAAATTTAGGTAAAAGTTTCTTTATGTCACTTAATATCTTGTAATTAGATAAAGATAACTGACTAAAAAGTTATTCTATACTAAGATGATCATTTAAATGTGTTTCAGAGATAATAAGAAAACCTGATAGTTCTAATATAATAATGTCACCACGATTGTTATGTTAGAATGATATGCTGTCCTTGACCTCAAGTTTTCTCTGGAAGACTTTATAAATGTTACCTGTTAACATTCTGGAGGAATTCAACTTCTAATTCAACCACAACTGGTAAAGAAATAACAGTTCATTGGTTTTACCATATATTTGAAGGTTCTTGGAATCTAGATAAGATCATAAAATTAGGATGTAACTGACCTCCTGGGTGTTTAATAACTGAGGTTTGGAGGTGAGAGCTAGAGAGATAACTGGGGTAAGAGGACAGCCAATATTTTGGCTGACCCTCAAAGATCAACAAAGATCCAGAATATGAAAGGACTTTTTCTACAAGATCCTGCAACTTTGAAGAATCACTCAACCTCCTGAGCAGGGAGACTGTTGGTCCCTAGAGGGTCCAGGATACTAAAAAGGTAGTTCACCAGAGAGAGAAAAATCTCTCCCATGCTTCTATGGAAAGCCACATGATCAAGCAAGACTGTGACACATCAGTGTCAGCCGACACTGATGGAAGAGCTGAGAGGCTCTGTATATGGTTCCAAAAGTAACCTCTGAAGAGTCTTAGCAGACCCAAGAGATAGCAAGAGGTTAATTTTGATTAACACAGGTCTCACTTTAACTTGATCTTAAACACACAGTAGAGAAGTATAACCAAAAGATGTATAAATAATTAATATCACAGTAATAAAAGCTTGATATAAAAATGGGGCTCCAATCACTGACCCTTACTAGCAGCTCCCAGCTACACCTGTAGCTAACACTGTTATGGTTTAATGAGGCAAGAAAGCTTCAGTGGAAGCTATAAAAGCTCAGCAAGAGTCTTTAAATTCCATAGCTAAAATTGTTCCTCAAAACCACTGAACTCTCCATCTTCTTACATCTAAAACTGGAGAGACTTGTGTGCACTAATAAATTAAATTTGTAGTCTTCAGATAAATAATTCAGACCAAGTGAAAAAAAATCTCAGACATATAGATAACTTCCATTATTAGACCAGTCTAGGAGCCATCTGGTTACAGTCACTATTCCAGTCCCTTAAGAGCAGTGTCTGATGTGGCTCCATTCCCCAATCTGCCTTTCCATGCTTTGGTTGTATGCACTTTAATCTCTTGGCAAAGGTTGTTTATTGTCACCTAGAAGCTGCCAAACTCCAAGTGATCATGCAGATGGAACCAACCACAAATGTGCCACACACCTTTTACTGGAATTCACTAGATTGACCTTTTAAAAGGAGTTCATGACTGCTAAACTGCAGCATGATTTCTCTCCACAATCTGTTAGATCGGCTCTCTGGAAAAGGCCCCTAACTGCAGTATTCTCTACACCAACCCTTCTCAGCTTGAAGCAGATAGATTGAAACTTCCCCATTCTCCCCTAACTGCATGCTATGGTTTGTATTTGATGCCCCCCAAAGCCTCATGCAGTCATAGGTGGGGCTTTTTCAGAGGTGTCTGGACCTACAGTATGTGATTCATTCATGGTGGAATGCTTGGACTGAGACTGTGTGATTACTAAATCAGTCCACTGATAGCTTTGGCACTGGCCTAATCCCAGTAGCTTGGATACAATAGAAAGGACAGAGAAAGGCTTGCCTTGTCCCTTGTTACTTTGCCACCTTCTGGCTGCTATGAACTGTCTCTCCTCTGTGTGCCATCCTGCTGATTGCGGACTAAAACCTCTACAAACTATTAGCTAAATAAACTTTCCCCTTTAACTTTGAGTGTCAGGTATTTTGTCTCAGCAACAAGAGAAAAGTAACTAAGACATCACAGTTAGGGATATCTCTTCAGATGGGGAATGTTATAGGCAGTTAAGTTAGATAAATATTAATACATAGAGAGGGACTAAGCTTTCTAAAATGTCAGAGTATATAAAGGCATCAGAATTGTGGCTAGAGGCACATCTGAAGAAGGCCAGGCTTCAAGATAAAGGCACAAAGGACAGGCTTTCATGCCTCCCTAAGAGATAAACAATAACTTGAAATTCTTTTGTAATTAGCACCATTTGGTCCAGCAAGTTCAGATAGGCATCAATTGCCCAGGTGGGTGATCAGAGCATCTGGACCCATCATTTCCCAAGAATATCTTGATTTTTTTCAAGCACCCTTGCTATGTGACTCATTTCCTTATTGGATTGATATTAGCTAAGTGGCTGTACTTATAATTCTATAGGTTGATTGTAGCTTGACCCACATTGTACCCACATTGTACCCACATTGTGACTTCATTGCATAAATTACACCTGGCAAAGGACCTTGGTGGAAACCCACTTTCAGAATCTCCCCCACCCCCCATCTCTCAGGAGCTGTTTCTCAATAAAATTTTGTTACTCTTAACCTCCACTGTCTCTTAGAATTCATTCTTTGATTTCAGGGGACATGAACTCAGCACATCTAATCTGTAATAGGTTGGGAGTTATATTTCTTTTATCTGATTCATAATCTCAGCTTTGTTGTTTCCTTCAAGCAAACACCAAAAGTCAAGTTTTATACAAAAATATATATTTTTTAATTCAATAGTTATATAATATTCACTTTCACAACAATATTTTTAGCGGTGTTTTGAAATTTAAAACAATTTTTTTTTGCATTCAAGATCCTTGCAAAGACCTTAATAACATCCCAGGTGTAGAATTGGGTTTCATAGAAAGAGAACAAAGTTCCCAAGTCTCTACAAATACTAATACTCACGGAAGATAAAATTAAAATACCAATAAGTTAAATAAGATTAACATTACTTAAGACATCATGTTTCATATCAATAAAGTTCATACTAGTACTAGAGGTTATTGAGGAAATACAGTGGTAGATAAATTAGCTACAGGTTTTTAGGCTCTTGGGTGGTGAAGCTAGTGTTCAAGAGGATTGAAGTTGCTGGTGCAGTTGAATTCTGTTTCAGCTGGGTTTTCTGGTCCAGTTTGGCAATGTAGTCCTTGACCCACTTCTGCGTGGGGTCAGCGCAGATCTCCCTGTTCGCTATGGTCTGGAAGCTGTGGGAGAGAGAGGACAGAGTTAAACCTCTGCAGTTTCAGTGCAGGAGCACAGCCTACTTTACACCAATGGCTGACATGGGAGGTAAAGGAGGAGGCAGGTGGGCGGGGGAACGTGGAGCAGCTCTACTAGGTTCCCAGGTGAAGCCATCCTGCCTTTCGGCTAAGGAAGTTGGGACGGCCTGAATGTACATCCACATGGAGAATGATGCTGAGAATCAACTTTTCCTTGTTGGTCTCAATTTTCCCACTTGAGACCGTTGAGCATTGGGTTTGAGGGTACAACTCTTTGACTCTAAGTTTGTGGGGATTATCTCTTGCTTTCCAAGGGAGAACTGTGGACCTGTTAGGACTGGTATGTTCAACTCACATCACAGCTTCTTTGGGACACCTGCTGCTGGTGATTCTTTCATAGCTCACCACCCTCTTCAGTGGGATCTTTTTGTTAAATATATAGCAGCAGACTGGGGCATTAACTCCATCTGGAAAATAAATCACAAAGCAAAGGTATTTTAGGATGGTTAGGTGTTTCTGATCTTAGAACAGAAAAGAGTCATGAGAAGACGGAAAAGCGACGGCAGAGGTAGAGGTAGGACCTATTAAATCCTAGTACTTCATCAAAGCTAGAATTAGACCTTTGATGCACTGGCTCATTTTGCCATTCTATAAAATGGGTGTGCAATGTTGGTAATAGCCAAGGGAAAGGGGAGCTGTTAAAACTAGGTAATTCAGGAAAACATTATTAGAAGGGAGCAATAATTCAAATTATCAGGGCTAAAGATCACCTAGGGATCCTAGCTATGGGGCCTCCTTTTAAACCCCCAAAATTCATGCTTGGCCACGAGTGTCGCTGATACCTAATGCATCTGCAGAGTCACTGGCTCTAGAAGCTGGGCTGAATGAAGCACAGTTCAGACCTGCGTCTCCTCCCTCCTCCCTGTGTCTGCAAATACCCGCTACCAGATGCCCCTCCTTTTGGTCACCCAGACCCCCTAGTACAACTGAAAATAGCTGGAGAAGTGTGTTTCTAGAGCTGCAACCCTGCAAGGAGCTGTATTTGGAGTCCACAGCTGGAACTCTAGCTCTTTGCCTTGGAGCACAGTGTGATTAGGCTCTCTCCCTGTCCTCCTATGAGCTGCCTCATGTTGGAAGAAGAGCTGCTAAGGTGAGATGAAGGTGCATGGTAACCCAGAGATGGGTGATGTGCTTCGGAAGGAAGGAGGCAGGGCCTTACCTGGCTGAGCCAGCAGGGGGGTGCTGAAGGTGGCTGCTGTGAGCATCAGGCACAGAATGACTGCAGAGACCTGCATGGTGGAGGGTAGGAGCACCAGCTTCAGTGTGAGAGTTGGAGGTTTCTGAGCTGGTTTCAGCTTCTCTGCTTTTCTGGGGGCTGTGTCTTTGCTTTTTATTGAAATCTAATGAGGGTGGAGTCAGGCAAGAGGGTTTGGCTTATGGCAACATCGTGATGAATGAATGACGAGTAGAATCTGAATCTGCTGAGCAAGTTCAGTACCCTGGGAAGTTTCCAGGAAGTAGAAGAGGGAGGGTGTGGGTCAGAACTTGACACTTATTTTCACCCACTGCTGAGGCAAAGAAGGGAGGCTCAGTTTGGGGGGGTGGGGGTGGGATAGGGTGGCCATATACCCAGTCTGCCCATAGATGTGGACCCAGCGGGCCACTCTTAAGGATTCTGCTTTCTCCTAAGTAAAAGGAAGGAAACTGAAGTCACAGAAGAGGAAGCAAAGAAACTGTGATCTCAAGGGGCTTGCCAAGCACATGGGGGCTTGCCCTGTCCCACAGCCCAAGGAGCCTTTGAGCCAAGAAAGGCCTCTGAAGCCTTGGTGGGCTCCCTGACAGTGCATTAAATCCACATTCTCTTTAAAACGGCAGGGTGAAGGCACAAAGACTGCCTTGAAGAACTGCAAGATTTTGTAAACACTGAACTGATTTCTAAATTGTGACATTTTGGACTTGGAAGAAAACATACAGATCAAGTCTTGCCAAAGAAGTTTTCATATTCATGAAATTTTTCGTATTCATTCAGTGCTTACTCTGTGCCAGGAATATTCTAAGACTTTTGCAGATATTGTCTTTAAATTCAAGCAGATATTGTTCATTCCCATTTTATAGATCAGGCAATGGAGGCCCATAGGGGTTATATGTATGACTTGCTCTAGGTCCTCTAAAATGGAATGCAAGTAGCTTGGCCTCAGGGTCTGTACTGCTATCACAGTGACATGGTTTTGCCATCACAGTGACACTGGTCATTCACCTGGCTGCCTGTCTATGTATCTGGCTCCTCACTCTGTGCTCAGGATCTTCCAAATCAGCAGACAGCTATAGAAGTATCAAGAAACATTCTTTGTGATTAAATTGCTGTGAGCTGGGAACCTGTGGTTAGCCCAAGAGGCAGTCGTGTGTAAGAAGTGCACTCTCCATCAGGGTGGCTGTCCTCCTGGCTTCTTCCTTAATTTCCAGGGAGCATGAGTGAGCAGAAGAATCAAATTTCGGGAATTGGAATGCCTAGCTTCATTCTTTAGTTATGTCTTTCATTTCTTTAGAAACCATGTGATCATATAAAAAAAATGAAAAGATCTTAGCATTCATTTCATTGAACTTCTTTCTTTTACAACTATGATAGGAATAGGCATATCAGTGGCTGTATCTCAGATTTCTAGACTCCTCCAGCCCACTGCTTCAACATATTGAGCCTTGCTGTGCCCTTGTCTAAAAGGGAAAGGATGGATTTAGAACTCTTCTCTTATAACGGATCACTGAGATAATGTGTATAAATGCATGGAACTTCTTACCAGTCACTACACGTGCTATAGGAAATGGTGGTATTATTTGGTGCATAGTAAGTGGTGTTACTGACTGCTCATCAGGAGCTAGGAATGGTGCTGAAGTACTTTCCAGTCTTCCAAACAACCCAACATTCCTTAGGTGGAAAGCAAAGTTCAGTTACTCATTCCTGATCTCATAGGTGGGATAAGATTTACCCTAGGATATTCTGATTCTAGGGTCAGTGCTCTTGGGCACTGGGCTAAATGTCTCATGATAGATATCTGTTTCCTAGATAATTTGAAAGCATAGAATGAGTGGAATTCCACTCTTGGGGGAAATACAAGAAAGAAGAGAGAAAAAAACCTATTTGTACACTGCTTTGCTTGCATCTCTCTCAGAGCCTTATTTTCATTCTGGAAGACTCCTACTGGTTACCTTTTTCCTTCCATTGCTGTTGAAACCCCTCTGTGTTTGGCTCAGTCCTTTAACCATGGCTAACTCCATTCCTACCACATGAATAAAATATTTCCAGGATGGAGACTGTGCAACTTCCTGCATTCATTTCTTCCCAGACCATGTCACATTACCTTCCAAAAAGTTTTTCTTCATATGAACGGGAACCCCTTTCTAATCAAGTAACGTGTCCTTTTCCTCAGACTTGGAGGACTCATCCCATTTCCCCATGGAATTCAGTCCTTCCTTGGGCTTTCTCTAAGTCAATAAATTGAAAGATGGCAATATTTTTAAATTATCACTATCACTCCTAGAATTCTGGATGCAAAGGACCTGGAGAGATTGCGTGTCTACTTTTCTTTCGGTGTAAGGGAGCCATATTCCAGAGTTTGAGACCAACTGTCCCAGGGCCACAGAGAAAGGCTCTGCTGAGGACTCACACAGGCTTCCCGGTCTCCTTTAAGGGTGGGGTTATTATCTTTGATCAGTGACTTGGCCATGGCAAGCTTCAGACAGAAAACGCATGGAAGGTGAAAGGTGTGAATCATGAAAGAAAGACTTATGGAAAGTGATTGTCTATGTCCCTCTCACTTTTGCTGTGTGGAGTAACATACCTGCCAGCTGGTAGTTCAGTGATAGGGTGGGAGAAAGGAATGGAAATCCCCACTCTTATGCAGCTTTGGAAGTTCCCAAATCTGTGGAAGAGAATGAGCCTGGCTTGAGGCCACATTCCAGATCCTGGGCCTGGAGCCCAGCAGCTCTCACATGGGACTGTGCTGGGAAAATCTCAGCACAAGCTTGAATTGAGTTGGGTCCAAGGGAAAGGCCCGGAGAGGAGACTTTGGCGGAGGAGGGTCAGGTCCATGTTTTATTGTCCCTAAAATCCCCAGTTCCCCTGGCTCCCCTCCCCATTAATACATAGATGAGGAATGGAAACGTTCCTCTCGGTGAATAATCTTCTTTCCTTCCTGTCAGGGGGCTGACCCCACAGGGAGGATCCTCCCATGTACCTTGGCCATCTCTTCAGACTCCCACTCGGTGTCAGGGGTGAAGGAAAGAGGAAGTAAGAGTGAGCTTTCTAGAAAGTTCAGAAGCCGGTTCTCAAGGCTTTGGCTTCCACTGGTCTCCACCTCCCCATCACTTCCTTTGCACCCCTTGCCCCAGTGTGGCATGCAGTCCCCTACCTCCTCCGCTCAGGCCTTTGAGTGAGATGCAGTGGGCTTTGCAACTGCCCAGCCCTTTCTAGCCACCTGCCGGGAGCCCCTCCTTCCCACCTCACTCTTCCCCTCTTTCCCAGGTGAGTCCTTGGTCCAGGTGGTCCTGGGCTCACATTCCTAGAGCCTCTGTTCAGCAATCTTTTTCCTTTCAAGGATCAAGATCCTTCATGATTCCTTCACAGGTTGTCAGACAGAAATGGGAGTTAGGGAAGAGCTGCCTTTTTTGTTTTGTTTTATTTTTGATAGGAAAACTGAGGGCAAGAAGAAGGCAGTGATAGCCCCAAGGTGACATGGAAGACCAACGGCATATTTGTGCTGCTCTGTCCACCTCTGGGCTCTCATCTCCTAATCTTAACATCCCTGCAGTCAGCATTTGCTGGACCTGGAGGGAGGGGAAGTGAGCCGCACATGATGTTTGCTCTCCAGAAGGGAGACCAAAGGAGGTGTCTGTGAGGAGTGCGACTGAGCTTGGAGTCACTCTGAGCAGTGCTCATGCTAGGCTTCCAGCATGTGGGCTTCCCCTGTGGCTCTGCCCTGGTCCCAAAGACACTGGTGGGGATGGAGCGGCAGTGATGAGTTGAGCACAAGGGAGGAGAAAGGAAAGTTTCACTGTGGCCTGGGTTGGTTGGGGAGAGGGCAGGTGGTCTGTGCCATTGGGGGCTCATCATTCAGACTGTCTTCTGGGCTGGTGCTGGTGACCATGGTGAGGGGACAGAGGTAAAGTGAGCCATTCAGATAATAGCGGTATCAGCCATGCTGAGGTATCTCTGGGCCACACTGTGCGGCAGGCGCTGCTGCCCTTATCTGAGGCTTGCATTGCACGAAGTGCCCTGAGCAGTGTGTGATGGGTCAAAGGAAACAGGACCACATTTGAAGAATCTCTGTGAAGATGCTGGACTCGAGATGACTGTTGTGTGAGAAGAAGGTTCTGGACTAAAAGACATTGTGATGATCGGCTGGAGGGGGTACAGAAATACTGTCTTGATAGCCTGTCACTGAATCCTTAATATCTGTGGTGGTCACCTGCGGGGAAGTCAAGGGACATATAGAATGATTGCATTCAGAGAGATACAGAGCTGTGAGAGTCCCAGCTGAGGGGCTCAGGGACATTTAAGGATGGGATCAAGGGCTCAGAGTTTGAACATGAGTGATTATTGGGAGGCAGAGGGGCACATTTTGAAGCAAACTTATAGCAACCACACACTTTAATGTGCTTCCACATCCTCTGGGCATCTTGATGAAGCACAGGCCCCAGCTCTGCATACAGGGGTTGCGGGGGCTGGGAGGCTTCATTTCTAACAAGCTGCACGTGATGTCATTGCTGCAACAGCACAGTTCCATCAGAAACACCTGCAGAAAGCTGAGATAAGAACATGCTAGTTAGGAGTGGGAAATAACCAGTTGCTCATTTTGCCTGGACCAGGATTCCTGCCCATTGCTTTGGGAACCATGTGGAGTTGTCTTTCATACGTATGTGATTGGACCTTTTTGTGGAAAAAACCCCAAACTTTTGTTACATTAGTGAAGGCTTCCATCCCCTCCAATAGTTCAATACCATGGAACCTATTGAAAACAGAGAGTTCTGGGGTTTCCTGCCTCCAAGTTTGCTGAGTCACAATCTGTATTTTTCCTATATAAAGCTGTATTTTTTTCAAATCATCCCCCACTCCCATATGATTGCCAGTCTGTGTCTGGGAGCCCCAGGGCAAAAGCTTAGGCTGTATGAAGTGAGGGCTATGCTAGCCAAACATAGTGGCATGATTCAGAATAAGGACATAGGCAAAAAAGAGGAAAGAAATAAGAGGAGAGGGGAAGAATAAGAGAGGAGGGGGAGAAAGAAGAGGTAGCTGGGATAGTGGGAAAAGCCCTAGTGGATGCCAGAAAATTATGGCCAGAGGTGTGGCTGTGTCTCTATCTAGCTGTGTGGCCTTGAGCAAGTCCCC